TTGGGAGTGGAGAGGAGGTTGGGAGGAGGAGGAGGAGGAGGCGAATGCTGGGAGGAGGAGGAGGAGGAGGAAAAGGAGGGGGAGGAGGAGGAGCCTGTTTGGGAGGCAGATGATATTGGGAGGATGAGGCTGGGATGAGCAGGAGGAGGACGAGGAGGAGGAGGAGGAGGGCGAGGAGGAGGAGGAGGACCAGTGCAACCCCAAGGCCCATCAACGATGTTGGAATCACCCCCCCCTCCAAGCTCCCTCTTCATAGGCCCCTGGACGGATTAATTTCCACTGAGGGAAGTGCCCCGTGGGGAGACAATTGTTTGAAAATCCTGACGTCCGCCAAAACACTATTTTCGGGATTGCAGCGCCCACCTGACTGCCGCGCCTTGACGATCCTGAAGCGTGCCAAAACACCATTCCTGCGATTTCGACACCGCGACTGAGTACAACTGTTGCGCCCTGACAGTCCTGAGTCGTTACAAAGCACAATGTCTGGTACGCGAGCCATGGGAACCCGTGAAACTCTTGCAATTGCTTAGGACGAGTGTTCGCAATGCTAAGGCCAGAGCCAGATGTTTAGAAGGAACCGTTCTAAATCCGTGAAGGTCCTGATAATTTCAAGGAAGAACGTGCGCGGCTCTACAGCGAGAGCCGCATTTTGAAAACGGCCCGCGCTCATTCCGCGACTCCCTTTCACATTGTTTTCGCACATGTGCGTGACGCTCGGGCGAGAGCCACAGTTTACCCCCCCCCCCCTCAATCCGTGAGGCTTTCGCATCTGTTCAAGACGTGTGCACGCGGCGCTAAGGCGAATGCCACACTTCGAAAACGGGCCGCCCTCGATCTGCGAAACTGTTAAAAGCCCCAGGATCATAAACGGTAAGGCAGTCGCAGGCAGAGCGCCCGACTCCCCCTTCAGACCGGCCTCGGGGTGTGACACGGAGACGACAGTTGTAATGATATTCAGGCATGGAGGAGGGGGATGACGAGGAAAAGGAGGTTGGGATGAGGAGGAGGAGGAGGAGGAGGGGAGGAGGAGGAGAGGGGGGGAGGAGGAGCAGGATAGGAGGAGAGGAGGAGGATGAGGAGGAGGAGGAGGAGGAGGAGGGAGGAGGAGGAGGAGGAGGAGGAGGAGGAGGAGGAGGTTGGGAGGTGGAGGAGGAATAGGAGAATGAGGAGGAGGAGGTTGAGGAGGAGGAGGAGGAGGAGGAGAGGGAGGAGGCGGATGAGGAGGATGGGAGGAGAGGGAGAGGAGGTTGAGGAGGAAGAGGAGAGAGGAAGAGGAGGAGGAGGAGGAGAGAGAGGAGGAGGAGGGAGGGGAGAGGAGGGAGGAGGGAGGAGGAGGGGAGGGGAGGAGGAGGAGGAGAGGGTGTGGGGAGGGTGAGAAGGAGGAGGCGGAAGAGGGAAAGAAGGAAGAGGAGGAGGAGAAAGAGGAAGACCGTGGAAGGCTCTCTCTTTGAAAAGCCCCTCGTCGTCCGCCTCCTCGCAGCAGGAGGCCTGCGACGACCAGCCTGCCGAGGTCCCCCGTGGGGACCGAGATTTTGTAGTCTGTATTCCGTATTCGTACCGGGGGACGCGGCCGTCTCAGATTGTTCCAGAACGCTCGGAGGACGTTCCGAAACGCTCTGCGACGGATTTGTGGAGGTTTCTCTTTTGTCTTCACGCGAGTTCACTTGCAGGGCATTCCCTCCCCCCACCTCCGCCGCCTTTTCTTTGTTTTCATGCGAGTTCACTTGCAGGGCACTCCCTCCCCCCACCTCCGCCGCCTTTTCTTACAGCGCTGGGCCGGAGAGGCGCGCCGCCGCGCAAGCGAGTCCCGACTTGCGTGAAGTCAGAATTCCGTTCGGGCCTCACCACTGGGGGGCCACATGCGGACCCTGCCCCGACCCCCCACAGTTTCTGAGGGGGAGGGTGGGGTTCACTTCGTTCGGGAGCTCCCGAGCGAAGTGAACCCCATCCTCCCCCTCAGAAATCGTGGGGGGCAGGGATAGGGTTCGCATGTGGCCCCCTGACCACGCCACCCCACCTCCTCCCCTTGCAGGCAAGCTAATGTATACGAGAATCTTCAGAACACCTGCCCCCCCTTTGCCATGTCGGAGGCGGGTCTGAGGCCTTCCCGTGGGACCAGGTCTTCAAGCATCCGACGATCTGTGTCTTTCCATCCCGGCGTCCTCCTTCGATTGCGGCCCCTCGGATCGGTGATCGGGCCCTGGGACCGTGAAGAACGGATCGGGGACGCAAAGTTGCCCCCAGGGAAGGGGTCGGGACCTTTAGCGCCACGGAGCATCGTCGGATGTCCGTTCGGACAACGTCTCTATCCATGTCCAGTGCTCCTTCGACTCTCCCGGGAGGGGCGCCGCAGAGCCGAGGCGCACTGGAGGTGATGAAACATCGTACCTTCAGGGGCCCACCGGTCTCTCCCTATACCCAGTGAGCCCAGGGCTTCTGGGGCTCTCCCTCGGCGGCGTCTGCTCCCTGGCCTGATGCCGCTCCTGCCCGTCGCCCGCGGCGGGCGGGGAGGAGGCCGGCGAGGCCGCTCCTGCTGAGTGGCTGCTGCTGCAGAGCCGCGGTCGTGCCCTGGGCCCTCCGCCGCCCCTTCCCGCTCCGCTTCTCGTGTCCTCCTCCGTAGGAGGAGGAGGAGGAGGAGGAGGAGGAGGAGGAGGAGGAGGAGGAGGAGGACGGAGGAGGAGGAGGAGGAGGAGGAGGAGGAGGAGGAGGAGAAGGAGGAGGAAGAGGAGGAGGAGGAGGACGGAGGGGGAGCAGGAGGAGGAGGTGAAGGGGGAGGAGGAACATGATGGGGAGGAAGAGGAGGAGGTGGAGGAGGAGGAGGAGGAGGAGGAGGAGGAGGAGGACGGAGGAGGAGGCGCGGCCTCTCTTCGGCGGGAGCAGGCGGGCAGGCCTGCGGAACATGGCGGACAAGCATGCGAGGGCGGCGGGCCCTGCGGCGGAGCCTAGGGCTTCAGCTGCTGTGCGGCCCCGGGTGTCCAGAGTCTGCCTCAGAGGCTTCACCCGGAACGATCCTGCTCGTCATGACCTTTCTCTTTCTAATTACCCTGTTGTTCTCCTGATCCTCTCTCTTTCTCTCGCTCTTCTGCCTTCCCCTCCTCGCCCTCAGGTTTTTTCTCTACCTTCTACCCTCCCTCCTCCCCGGCTTCCCCCCCTTGCTCCCCCCCGAGCCCCCCGAGGAATCGTTCCTGAACGCCAAGTTGCGCGCGAGGCGCGCCGCTACGTCTCCGGGTGTTTCCGTTGGCGCAGTTCGCAGGCAAGGATTTGTTTGCGAGGTGGCTCTGTCAGGAGTAGGAATTTTGTTTCACAGGGGAACTTGGCCCTGCGAACAAGAACCAGCTGCACTTTACAGGGAGCTGTGGCCCTGGAAGCCAGGATACATCGCCATTCGCACAGAACCCTCGTCATGGGCTGACACGCTACAACACGATCCTGGCCGTGAGAGCAGCGATCCATTCTATGATACTAAGTGCTTGTTGAAGCCTTTGCACTTTACGCTGAATCGCTAAATTTTGGCAGGGATCCATGTCTAGTTTGCAGAGGAGTGCGGGACCGGGTCAGAAGTCCCAGCACGTGCCTTTTACGAAGGGTCGTGACCATGCGATTTGATTATTGATTAGTGCATTGGCTTGCATACTGCAAGAAAGCGCGACCCTGGCGCAACAACCCACATCATTTTGAAATAGGTTCGTGCCCATAGCAGCGCGGATCTTTCCCATGTTGTGATGGCCGCGGCCGTGATGAACAATTAGTCGTCTCCTTGGGCGCCCACCTTTTTAGGGCATGCGCGTTCCATGGTGGTGGCATTGTCTTGTTCTGGTGTTTGGTGGACTCATTCGTTCAATCCTGAGTTTCATTTTAGGATCGGCTGACGGCCCAGCCCTCCGAAGGCTCAGATGTCCTCTTGCCTTCTGAGAGGCCTTCTGAGTTTTCTCCGAAGACAGAGACGGCTTCTGAGAAGGCCAGAGGGCTTCTCAGAAGCCCCACTGTTTTCTGAGAAGGCCTGCCCCTCTCACTCCCCCTCTGAGCGCGCCGTCTGTGGGGAGGAGACGTCATGCCTTCTGTACTTGCTGGACGAGGCGCGCCATGCACCTCCATGGTAAACAGTGGCGCACTAGCTGTATGTTATATTTATGTATATATATATACTATAATGGCCTTCGGCCCAGCCCACTACCGTGTCTGGATTGTGGGGAGGCTCTGATTTTTGGTTCGAGTTCCCTCTCTTGGGTTCCTTTTGGGGCCGTCTTGGGGCCCTCTGTGGCCGTCTTTGGGCGCCTCTTTGGCCTCCTTGGGGCGCTCTTGATCGGTCTGTGGCTCTCTTGGGGCCTCTTTGGGTTCTCTTGGGGTGTTCTTGGGGGCCTCTTGGGCCATCTTGAAACGTCGGAAAACAGAAAGGCGAGAACGCCAAACTCCTTCAAAACCAACGGAACATCCATGATGCTTGCATCTTGGGGCCTTCTTGGGAGGCCTCTTGGAGGCCTCCTGGGGCATCTTGGAGACCTCTTGGGCCGTATGGGGGCCATCTTGAGCATCTTGTAGCAATCGTTCAGCGACTCGTGGCCTTCTTGGACCGTCTTCAGGTCCTCCTGGGGCCCTCTTGTTCCGTGCTGTGGCCTTCTTGGGTCCGAAATATGCATGCGGGAAGCCGCGGGGGAGCCCAGAGGGCACGCGGGGAGCCCCGATACATTTGATAATTCGGGATCCGGGTCCCTTGAAGACTCCTTGGGAGTGTTTTCGGAAATAGGGAAAGGATCTGAGGACACGCCCAATCCGTGCCCAGCGGCACGGTGGCGGATATGAGCGCATCAAAGCTCCACGGTATTTGAGTTCAGCAAACATCCGACTCGATTTGTAAAACGTCTCAGAGACATCAGCTTCGCAGCCTGGTGGGCATGTCTACATGTTCACGTTTTGGTCTCCTCCAGCAAGCAACAATAGCAAGACTAACACTTATGAGGGTTCCTATTCCTTCCTGTCTGCAGAACGTCGTTCGAGTCATTTTTGGCGCAAGGCCCGTTTCGGCTCAAATCTAGGTTAGCAGCACGGTTACACCCTTCTGTTGCTGTAGCGCCACCCCCGCTAGGTATCGTAAACTATTTGGAACCATCGGCATTCACAATAGTAATCCCGCGTTTTCCAGACCATTATCTTCCATATCGAAGTAACGCACGCCGTAATTGGCAGGAGGTATCGAAAATCCACAATGTCCTCAGTCACGTCGACTGGGGCCACGCGTTCGCCTGTGCGCAGGTCGTGTAGCTTGTTTGGCATAGCCACCATTTCTTGCTCCATGGGTTTCCTCATTCCGGTCAGTGCTGCGCTGAGTACGCCGACCAAAGATGCGACAAGTGTTGCACCCGTTGGCCTGATCAGCTTGCGCCGCGAATCTGTGCCGGTGCAGCGGAAGGGCCAGGTAGTGGCTTTCAAGACGTCGTACTCTGGGACCATACACGTAGGCTCGCCAGAGCCACAAGAGTTCAGGGTCGTCTTCGACACCGGGTCCGGCCATGTCGTCTTGCCGTCCGTAAAGTGCTCCAGCGCCGTGTGCCTCCAGCACCGGCGGTTCGACGCAACCGCCTCGGCATCGTCTGCCGTAGTCAACACGGACGGATCTCTCGTCTCCGAGGGTGCGGAGGGCGACCGCGTCACCATAGGGTACGGCACCGGCAAGGTCACGGGCGAGCTGGTGCGCGAGCGCGTGTGCCTCGGGCCTGCGGCCCAGACGCTGCCCCGCGGGGAGGCCAATTCGTCCGGGCCGGCCGTGGACGTGGCCCGCGCCGCCACCACGTGCGCGACGGTTCACACGGTGGCTGCCACCGAGCTGTCTGCGAACCCGTTCTCCCTGTTCTCCTTCGATGGGATCTCAGGGGAGGAAGAGGTACTCGTACCGCTACCCTTCCTCCTTCAGGCTTTTCGCGGGGCCTCCTGGGAGGCCGTCGTCGCCACCGCTGGATTCGCTTCGAAGTCTTGGTCGGTCCGCGGGGCAGCTGTAATTACCGGTGCCTTGTGGTTTTCGCAGGATCGTCGGCTTGGGCCTTCGGGACCTGTCGTTGAGCAGGGAGTTCAATTTCCTGGATCTCCTCGGCAGGTCCGGAGGGGCAGCGTCGTCCTCTTTCGGGATCTTCCTGAGCGAGGGCCACGACGGGGAGGAGAGCGAGCTGGCCGTCGGTGGCCACAACCCGGAGCGACTCTTGTCCCCGCTGACGTGGTCTCCAGCTATCAGGCCAGCATTCAGTCGGGCCTGTCCCCCTACAGGGGGACTTTCGACGAAAAATAAAAAAATACCCCAACAATAGTCCAAGAATAGTCCAAAAATGATCTGGGGACTATTTTTGTGTATTTTTTTTATATGTTTGGTTTCATTTTTGGGTACTTTTAATTTTTCGTCGAAAATCCCCCTGTATAGGGGACAGGCCCGACGTAAGGCCAGAACTTGGATACTGGCAGGTGCAGGTCAAGGCCGTCCACATAGGGGACCACTTCACGCTGCCGCTCTGCCAGGACACGGGAGCCGTAGACGGCGGGCTTCTGGGTGTTTTCTCAGGGGGGGGGGGAAAGAGACACACAGACACAATGCATCGTCGACTCCCAGGAACATATGGGAAAATATGTGAAGTGGGGGGGGGGGGGCGACGAAAACCCAGGAAATGGTGAAAAAGATGGGAGATCCTTGGGTTTGTGTGTATTTCTTTGTGTGTGCCTGGGCCCCTCTGGTTTTGCCGAACATGGGCCGGGCAGGCTTTCCCCTTCGATCGAGTTCGGACTCGTGGATCCAGAAATGGAGCCGCCAATTTGCCATGTTCGTTGTTTGGATCCCGTCGGGGTCCGTTCCCCTGATGCTACCTGGCATCATCGGCAGCAAGCCTGTCGTCAAGGCCCGGGTCGGGGATAGTGACCCGCCGGCCCAGGTCTTGTGGCCCCAATGGGCGGGACGCAGCAAATACGGGCATCACAGATTGATCCTTCCGAGTCCAGGTCGAGGGATGGGGAAGGAATCGTGGCCTTGCGCTGTCTTCCTCCACTGCCCCTGCTCCGGATCCTCTTTATCTGTGGTGCAGGCCTTTTCGGGTTCAGCTCCTCGGTGCCCTGAGCGTGTCCCGGGAGGCTCTGAAACGGACGCGGCGCCAGGTGCACTCTCCGAACCCGCCGACCCCGAGAGATTTTTCAGAGTCATGCCGGTCCGAGTTTGTCTCGATGCTGCCCTTTCCCAGCCTGGAACATATCCCCACCCCTATGCTGGGCATCTCATCATCACGATGCCAATCTTAGGGATTCCCTTATTTTTGAGGGCGAATCCCTAAGATTGTCATCGCCTTTTGGCGTGTCAATCTTAGGGATAGGGATACGTTCGAGGCTGGTAATGGCTTTCTCTTCGGTCCACCCCTACCGCAGAAGACGACGTCGACGCGAAGACGGCCCACGGAATCGCCAAAAAACACAAAAAATCAAGCAACAAAAAAAACTATCTCGTCTCATGCTGCAGGCTCTCGACGCGTCGACGCGGCGGCGGCGCGCGTCGCTGCAGGCTCCGAAGGTGGAAGGCCGCGAGCAGTCTGAGCCAGGCCGCCCTTGAACGATCTCCTCCGCTGTCGAATGTCGGGCAATCGAGCATGACATTCTAGGCCTCTAATATGGAGTCCGAGCAGATGGGGTCACAGGGTCGCGCCGCATCGCCGATGCATCGCCGGTGCAGCTCGATGTGGAGCACGACTTGCTTTACAGTCGACGTCGCCGGTGCGTCGCCGATGGATGCATCGCCGGTGCATCGCCGCTGCATGGCCGATGCATCGGCGATGCATCGGCGATGCGACGCGATCTTTCGACGCCATCTGCTCCGACCCCATCTAGGAGGAGGCCTACGCATTTGGGCACCCAATCTCTTGCCAACGCATTCCTACTTCATGTTTCTACCTACTTCTTCCGACCGATGGGTCACGCTTTTCTTTCTTTTTTGGGGGGATTTTCTAAGATAGTGGATCGAGATTTAACGATGTTACGTTCGGATGCAACTCGGGGGAGGTTAAAATATTGACGTTGCCCTGGATCTGGCTTCCTTGGCTAAGTTTGGCTTAATTTGGCTTCCTCCCGCTGAATCCCGCTTAATCGGGCTTAGTCCCGCTGAATCCGCGGTCTAATCCTGCGCAGCAGTTCCCCAAGGGGGCTCAATCCTGCCTTGAACCCTCCCGACGAAGGCCTCCCAGTAATTAGTTGCCTCCTAGGCGTTGCCAGAGACCCACGCCTTGGTCGCCACAGCCGGATCCTACCTGAAGGAGGAGGAGGATGACGAGGAGGAGGAGGAGGAGGAGGAGGAGGAGGAGGAGGAGGAGGAGGAGGGAGGAGGAGGAGGAGGAGGGAGGAGGAGGAGGAGGAGGAGGAGGAGGAGGAGGAGGAGGAGGAGGAGAGGAGGGACGGAGGAGGAGGAGGAGGAGGTGGAGGAGGGAGGAGGGGGAGGCGGAGGAGGAGGAGGAGGAGGGAGCAGGTGAAGGAGCAAAAAGGAAGGAGGAAGGAGGAGGGAGGACGGAGGAGAGGAGGAGGAAGATGAGGAGGAGGAAGAGGAGGATGAGGAGGGAGGAGGAGGAGGGAGGAGGAGGAGGAAGGAGAAAGGAGGAAAGAGGAATAATGAAGGAGGAGGGAGGGCGGAGGAGGAAGGAGGAGGGAGGAGGGAGGAGGGAGTAAGGAGGAGGAGAAGGAGGAGGAGGAGGAAAGCCTGACGAAGCCAGGCAGGATCGCCCGTGGCCCGTGCTCCTGGGGCAGCCCTGGAGCTCCGTGTGGCGCGCACGAGCGTGCCCCAGCGCAGGCGCCAGGGCCTGGGCGGGCTCCCGCGGCCACGGCCAGGGAGCGGACTTCTTCGCGGAGGAGGGCCAGGGGGAGGTGGGGGGAGGAGCAGCGGCATGGCGGGGAGGGGGACGAGGGCGAGGAGCGGAGGGAGGACGAGGAGGGGGAACGAGGGCGGGGGGAGGGGGCGGCGAGGAGGGGGAGGAGAGGGGGAACGGGGGCGGGAAGGGCGAGGACGGGGAGGACGAGGAGGCCGTGGAGGACGAGGAGGCCGTGGAGGACGAGGAGGGCGAGGAGGGGGAGGACGAGGAGGGGGAGGAGGACGAGGAGGGAAGGAGGGCGGGGAGCGGAAGGGGGGTAGTGGACAGGAGGGCGAGGAGGGGGGCCCCGCTGACCCCCGGGGATACGTTCGAACACCCACCTATCGAGACTGAACGCCCCCCTCCCGTCATATATCCCAGGGTTGGGCCCCACATTTTTGGTCCAGTCGAGAACCTCACGAAGCCTGGCATGGGGGTCGACAGTCTCACACATGTCGCCAGGGGTCGACGTGTCCCCCTGTCAGAGATCATGGGTGAAGGCAGTGTGGAGTAGCGTTCAGTCGGGCCTGTCCCTCTACAGGAGGAGTATGCAAAAAGTAAAAAAAACCTAGTCTGGGGATTATTGCTTGATCATCGTTTGTGCATGTGGGAGTCGTTGTGTGACTGCCTATGAGTTCTCCTCCCCAAGGTCCCCCTGTAGGGGGACGGGCCCGACGTAGGAACAGCGACGTGGGTCCGTTCCCCCGTGCGGCCGCGGCGCGCTCCGTCGCCACTCAGAGCGCGGCGTTGGCTTCACGCCTCGGGGGTACACTCGAGGAGGAGGAGGAGGAGGCGGAGGCGGCGGATGATGAGGAGGAGGAGGAGGACAGAGGAGGCGGAGGAGGAGGAGGAGGAGGAGGAGGAAGGAGGAAGGAGGAGGAGGGAGGAGGAAGGAGAAGGAGGGAGGAGGAAGGAGGAGGAGGAGGAGGAGGAGGAGGCGGGGGAGGCGGAGGAGGAGGAGGCGGAGGATGCGGAGGAGGAGGAGGAGGAGGAGGCGGAGGAGAGCGGCTTGAATAAGGAGCACATGTTTTTCAAAAGAGGCTCGGCCGCTCCCTTGGTTTGCGTGCGTTCCGCTACCTTTTTGGCGGCGAGCCCCCTGGCGGTCCTTCAGATTCTGGACGCGCGGGTTCGTTGTGTCGATGAGGGGCTCGGCCGTTCCTTCGGACTTTGTAGACGTACTTAGACAAAAAAGGGCCTTCGTTCCTTCTGTACCGTTCCTTTGGTCAGGCCGATGACGGTGCCTTCCCCGATGCGTGGATTCAGCGCTTTCGCGCCAGATCCGCGGATCCCGAGTCTACGTTGGCGTGCGCCCGAGAGGAGGGAGGATGGCAGCCAGGCGGAGGGAGGCGGGAGGGGGGAAGGGGAGCCAGGCGTTTGGACGACGATCCATGGAGATGAAGCGTTGACAAACGATCACCACGCACCCATACCCGTAGGGGAGCGGACTGAGCTATGGGTGCGTGATGTCGGACGGGAGTGCCCGCTCGACCGGGAGCCTCCCCAGGGGTCCGACAACCCGCACCCATACCCATAGCCAGTCCTTTCTCCTCCGACCTCCCTATGGGTATGGGTGTGTGTGTTGTTCGTTTGCCAAGCATGTCGCCAAATCATTTCCAGCTGTCCGAAACACACGTGTTCAGCACGTCTTAAACTTGTAAGCGACATGTCTTGCACACTGTTGGAACTAGTTTTTGAACACTGCAAGCGCATCTTTCATTCAATGATCGGATTGTTAGGGCGTCCAGCGTCAGGGCATCCAAAAGGCCAGGCCACGCTGTCAGGCCTGCGCCAGGTGCCAGGCAGGCCAGCGCGCCCAGCCACGGCTGGGGCAGCTCGTGGTGTCCCCCCCCCCGGGGGGGGGGAGGCCCCGTGGCTTCGTCGCGCGCCCCTCGTGGGGTCGTCGACGATCGATGGGCTCCCCTGCAGGGCCACGGCGCAGCTCTCGGAGGAGGGCCAGTTGAGATGACGGCGGTTCCCCCGCCCGGCCCCGCATCCGTGCCGATCGGCCCCCGGACCTCTCCATGGGGGCCCATCCCGGCCTTGTGTTCGTGGCCGATCATCGATGCAGCCGTGGCGGCGAGACGCGCCCAGGAGCCCCAAGGAGGACGAGAACAGCCAGGGATGGCCACCGTTGCCTCGACTGGTCCTCCTACGAAGCTGCCCCAGTTGTGGCTCGTCAGGCCAGGCGTTGTCGTCTTCCCGAGGGCCCTGGACTCAGAGTCTGGCCCTTCCCCCCGTGCAGGACGGCAGCTGCAGAGGCGTGATAGACACCGGCACGTCCCACCTGGGAGTGCCCGCCCCGCACCTCAAGACCCTGCAGGAGATGCTCACCGTCGCCGTCACCGACACGCAGGACCGCCAAGAACAGCAAACCCCACAAGCACTGATCATCGGAGGTCCGCGCGGATCTGCTGAGTCGGCGCTGGGGCCCTCTGGCGGCGCTTCTGGCTCCCCTGGCGCGCTGCGCGCGCCAGCAAGGGGCCTCCAGCACCGATCCGAGATATCCGCGCGGACCTCCGAAAGTGCAATGTTGTTCAGTTTTTCTTCTTCAAGGACTGTCGGGGTGCAGAGGCGCCAGACATCAAGATCGAGCTGCCAGGGTTCAATCTCACCCTCACGCCCGACGACTACATGAGGCGGCTGCCCCTGCGCGAGGACGTGGGCGTGGGCTCCTGGCGGGGCATGGCGGATCAGCTGCTGAGCCGGGTGGGACTGGGCTGGGCAGGTTCGCAGCCCAGCGGGGGCGAGTTCGCTCAGCACTGCCGGCCCAGGCTCATGCCCGTCCGCTTGCCGGAGCCCATCGGGCCCAACGTCTTCATCCTCGGTGAGCCCGTGCTCGAAGAAGGGAGCAAACGCATAAGCAAAGGCCCTCAAGGGGCCCTTTAGGGCCCCTGTTTGGGGAGCCAGCAGGGGCCCCAAAGGGGTCCTAAAGGCCCGCTCGATAGGGCCTTTTTCTTCCCCCCCCCAGTGTGAGCATGTTCTGTTTCCGCGTTTCGGCATTGGGCGGAAGGGGGAGGGGGAGGGCGCGGGGTTTGGCTCCAGACCTCTGCTCAATGCGACTGTTTGCAACAGACCTCTGCTCAATGCGACTGTTTGCAACCCCACCTGCTCGAATCAGGCGCCCATAACAGCCAAGACCGACTCCACAGGGGGGGTATAGGGACGGGGGGGGGGGGCGAGGAGCGCCCGCGCCGATCGGCAGAACAATGAACAAGAAAACGATCACATGTGGGCCACCCCCTCTTAGCACCCGCCCGAGACCTGCCGGGGCCCGCGCGGATGTCTCGGATCGGAGTTGCTCTCCAAGCCCTTCCCGGCGCGCCAGGCCGACCCAAGAGCTCCGCGCGGCTCTCCGGAGGTACATGTTGCATGCTTGTGGAGATTTGTCTCAAGTCGGGCATGTCCCTCCACAGGAGGAGTATCCAGCAATAGTCAACGACATAGTCAAGGGACGCCTTTTCGACTATGTCAGATTTTCGATTGTTTTGGGTGTCTGTCGACTGTGTTTCGCTTCTCTTCCAAAATCCGCCTGCAGGAGGACGTGCCCGACCCAAGATCTGTCGCTCCTCCAGGTGGGCCCGTGCTCAGTATCACCATCGGGGTCTGTCGTCAACCTGTCGGCGATGCATCGCCGATTCCAGGTCTATTGGTCCACCCGGTGAGCCAGCCCCCCCCCCTTCCTAGCATCGTCTAACATGCCCTCATCCCCTCTGGGCTTAGGTCGGGCATGTCCTCCTACAGGCGTAGTTTGGGCGAACATCGAATCACATTCAAACATGTTCAACAAGAGTCAGACATATCAGAAACAAGTCGTCGTCATACTATTGTTTGTCTATGTTTGGATATTCCTCCTGTAGAGGGACGTGCCCGACCGAACTCTGGGGCACGGTGCCTCACCAGCCCGTCCTCCTAGGTTGGGATGAGCCCCGCGAGGCCCGAAGGAGCAGGCATATACCCGTCGGTCTTTGAAAGTAGGTTTTGGGGGACTCCCAGTTCCCAATCTATTTTAGCCGCCTTCCGTCTTCAATACTTCCAACGCTTCCCTACTTCATGGTTCTGCCTACTTCCTCCGACCGATGGGCATGGTATCACCACCCAGGAGGAGGAGGAGCAGGAGCAGGAGCAGGAGGAGGAGGAGGAGGGGGAGGAGGAGGAGCAGGAGGAGGAGGAGGAGGAGGAGGAGGAGGAGGAGGAGGAGGAGGAGGAGGAGGAGGGGTAGCCTCGGGTGCAGGCGAGCCCGTGCTCCACCACTACTACACCGTCTTCGACTGGGCCGCTCCGCGCATCGGCTTCGGCCTCGCCAACTCGAGGCGGCAGGCGGCGGCGCTCCGCGGCGGCGGCGGCGAGGCGGCGGGCGGCGCGCCCCTCTCGCAGTGAGGCCCTCGCCTTCGGCAGCAGCTCGCGGGGACCTCGTTCGGCAACGCGCAGAGTTACGTCGGGCACGTCCTTTTACAAGAGGAGCATATCCAACATCAAATTTAAGAATTAGTCTGGAGCAGATGTTTCGATGTGTTTTGGCCAGTGTTGTGATGTGTGCTTGTTGCTGTTCCAACACTGGCCTGTAGGAGGACGTGCCCGACCTCAAGCAACTCACGGGAGGCTCGGGGGAGGGGGGGAGGTTTCTTAGAATCAGGTTGCCTCTGAGAGGGCGCGTGCCTTGTCTGTAGATGTGGGGCCGGCGCTTTCCAAGAAGCATCTCCCTTTTAGAAGCTTTTTCCACTCCCCCTACACCCCTGCGCTCGCCGTCAAGTTGTGTTTCCTCGCATTTCTGTCTCAGCTTGCACTAGCGTGCGGTAGCCTCTGGAAATCGATGAGAAAGCGCCGCTTGAGCGTCGCTTTGGCGCGGATGTGGCGTCGATTAGCGCCGCTTGGAGCATCCAGCGTCGATTCGCAAGAGCCAGCAGCACGACAAGGGAGGCTCCCGTGAGCTGCCACCGAACTTGCCCTCGCCCAGCGGCCGAGGAGCGCGCAGCACCTCGCTCGCCACTGGCCCCTCCCCACGGGCCGTTCGGAGGGAACCGACCGTTGGGCGCTGCCTAATGGGGGGGGGTGCAAAGTTTCCCCTGGGGCCGTAGGCAACCCGAGGATGGGGAGGAGGAGGAGGAGAAGGAGTAGGAGGAGGAGGAGGTGGAGGAGGGGGAGGGGCAGGAGGAGATGGAGGAGGAGGAAGAGGGAGGAGGGGGAGGAAGAGGAGGAAGAGGAGGAGGAGGAGGATGAGGAGGGGGAGGAGATGGAGGAGGAGGAGGAGCGAGGAGGAGATGGAGGAGGAGGAGCGAGGAGGAGGTCAAGGGTGGAGCGTTCTTTCCTCGTCCCTCCTCTTCGGGGGGCTGGCGCAAACCCAATCTACAATCAACGCCTTCCTACTCCATGCTCCTGTCGACTTCCCCCTGCCAATGGGTACCCGATCGCTCTCCCTCACCAGGGGCTCCCGCCCAGCCGTGCAGAAGACCGGCAGGGGGGGGGATCGAGAGGGCGCGGGCGCCATGCCGACAGAGCGGCACCGCCATTGGCAGTTGGTTCGGGGCGCCTCGCTCGCGCCTGCGGCATCAGCTGCCGGGCTGCAGAAGCGTCTCTCAGCAGGGACCCGTGGCGCGAAGACACCGGGAGCCTTGCGCGGGAGCTCCTCTCAAAAGGTGTGTCGCTCCCTTGGGCGCCCACTGCCAGTCGGGCGGGCTGATCTGGGCTACTCCGCCCACCCCCTCTGCTGCGAAGGCACGTGTGCCTTGCACTCCTCCGCCGCTTCGGATTCTGCCGGTCCTCGCCTGACGCGCCAGAACTTGCAGGATCGCATCGGGGATGCGCTCAGCTTGCAGCCTGGCCCACCGCAAGGCCTGGCAAGCACAATAATAATTAGCTGAAGCACTTCCGGCAGCAGCGGGGGCAGTGCAATTCAAGGCCAGACTTAAGTCGGGCCTGTCCCTCTACAGGGGAAATATTCAAAAATACTCAAAAAATAGTCTGGGGACTATTTTTTTTTGTTGTATGTTGACAATTTTGGAAGTTTTTTTGAGTATTCTTGATTTTCCATCGAAAATCTCCCTGTAGGGGGACACGCCCGACTGAAGGCCAGACGCCTGTTTGGTGGGCTTGGCCATCATCTGGGGGTGGGCTCGGCCATCGCCCTGGGCTCTCACAAGCTTGCCCAAAGGGCAACCCTGCCCGCCGAGGTCCCGTCCTGGTGGGTGGTCAGGCAGTGGCCTGCTGTCCCCCGGATGGCGCCCTGTCGGAGTGCGGCAGGGGAGGGCAGACCCCTGTCGATGATCCTCAGGACGTGTGTGGGCCGACTCCGTGCGTGCCCCGCCCTCATCAAGCAGGGAGGGGAGGGCACAGACAGAATGAATCGTCGGCGCCCAGAAACATGCGGGACACTGTGGGAAGTGTGGGGGGGGGGAAACGAAAAAACTGACAGAATCTGGAGAACATGGGTAACCCTGAGACTTGTGTCTATCTATTGGTGTGTCCCTGGGCACCTTTTGGTCACAGCGGCTGCGTCGTTCTGAAGGGCTTCGGCGGGCAAGCACACTCACTTGGCGCTTCTGCGCGGCCTGAGGCTCATCGACGCTGCTGCGCCGGCCGCTGGAGCTCGCGGAGAGCGGACGCCGCGACGAGCCGCGGGCCGCGCCACTGTCCAGAAGCCGAGCCGACAAAATCCAGAGGAGGAAAAGGTACCCACACCTCTACCCCTCGCCCGTTTTCCCCTTTTTGGGCCTCCTGGGAGGCCCTCGCCGCCACCGCCGGATTCGCCTCGAAGTCCTGGTCAGAGCGCGCCCCGGGAGAGGTCGGGGGAGTAGCTGTATTGGTACCTTTTGGTTTCCCCAGACAAGATGGCAGCGGACGCCTAGGCCACAGAGCACGCCGGTTTCGCTGCTCACGGCTGCGACGCGCTGGGCCCCAGAGAGTTGGGCGGGCATCGGCGATAATTACGTAGGGTTGGCCTCTCGCCCGAGTGACCTAGTGGCATGCGGGCACGGTAGGTCCCCAAGGTGGTTGAATGCGATGCGAGAGCAGCGGCTTGCGCGCTCCAGTTTGGCCTCCCCGCGCACCCCGAAAGCCACGCATCAAAGGCGCCTTTTTCCCAGGGCCCGTTGTTAGTCCCCTGACGATAACGGCGGTTCCCCGAGTGGGGGGGAGAACGAGGGGGCTGGTAGCGTCACGATTCGCGCCCGCGCCGTCTGGGAACTAGCTACCCCTAGCAATTCCCAAACCGCGCCGGCGCGAACAGTGACATTACCATGTGGTGGGAGGATGGGAGGGAGCATTCCCGGTAACGGCCTTCATCGCGAATCGTGCAAAATACGCTCCTTCGGTCACTCTTGCGTGTCGCCGAGGGCCCACTCACAGCAATAGAGAGAGAGGGCCGCAGTGCAGGCCAGGCAAAGAGACCCAGTGCCGAAGGTGTTTCCTCGGCCTTGCTGGGCGGTTCGTGGCGGCGAGAGTGCGGGTGTGGGGCGGAGGGGAGGGGGCGGGGATGGGTGATACGGTAGGACCGTGTCGTGTCAACCGGCAGCCACCCCGCCGCCAGCATTCAACGTTGAACGCCGCCGATGACCCAGATCGGTCGATGTTGAACGGTCTGACGTTTCGGAAACGGCCGATCGTTCAAAGTTGAATGATCCACGCGGTGTCAGGAATCAGCTCCAGAGTGGATACGGCGCGAACCTGCCTTCTATGGCGACGGGGGGAGGCGCATTCCGACGGCAAGGGTGGCAGTTTGAGGCCGAGACCTCCTCGCGCTGTAGCAAGAACGTGTTAGCCAGCGTGGACCCTAAGCAATGTGTTTCTAGGACTAATTGTGGTGCAATCGAGTGGATCTCTCTCTCTCTCTCTCTCTCTGCCTCTCTCCCTCTCTATATATGTTTATATATATAGGTATAGATATATATGTATATATATATGTATAGATTATACGCGGTGGTGCAGTCAGAGGTTGTGCGCATTCTACGTCGTGCAATCTATGAGGTGCGAAGTGCGTTATGCAATCTATGTGGCGCAATCGACCACGCTGCACTGCGCGTGACAACCTTCCACGCTCGTGCAAACATCCCACCCTCCCACCCGCATCTTGGTCGGCAAAACTCAGAAGGTCGCGACTGCTGTTGCGGCGAGGAGCCTGTCCGCAAATTCCATCGAGCTCACTGGCACGCGGACCTTTGTGGCGCGGGCAAAGTCCACCGTGAGGGAGACAGCGCGGACGCCAGCGCCGACAAACGACTGTGAGGTGGTTGGCAAAAAGCAAAAGGTCGCGAGTACAGTTGCAGCATGGAGCTCCTCGTGCCCATTGGCGCGCGGACGCTCGTCGCACGGGCAAAACATCCATATTGCTGGACAGAGCGCGGACGACGGCGTCGACAGACGACGACGAGGATGATCACGACGCTTCCGACGGCAATGATGACGATGACGGTGCCCCGCATGGTGTTTCTTGACAGGGATCATGCCTCTGGCATTGGAAAAAGTTCGACATGCACGCGCGAAGGCCTCCTTGAACAAACATGTGCGCAATAAAAATGGGGTTTCCTAGGCATCCGCCAGGCGCGCAGGATGAAAGGTTGAAAGGTCTTTGTTGGAAACCATTCGGTTTTTGTGCTTCTACGCTGAAGCCGCAACCTGCATGGAGGTTTTGGACGGATTTCGTCGTGCGCTGGCGCGTGTGGTCCGCTTTTTTGGGAGTTTACACGGTTTCGCGCACTCTGCTCACGGTAGATCAACGCATGCGCACCGCGTGGTATTTTTTCATGGGGTGAAGAGGGGACCTGATGCTGGGAATAGCTGGGGTGGTATGCGGTCGTACGAAAAATAAACGTGGAAGCGCATTCATTTGCAAACTCCACGACCCCAGGTGGCGTGGTAATCCGGGGGGGGGAGAATTCAATAGTGTAAAAAAGGAACACCCACGTGGTGCAACAAACTCAGGCAACCTATTTGGTGCAAGTGATTTAAACAAACGAGTTGACACACCCCGCGCTCTTGCAAGCATCCCACCCACCCTCCCGCAACTTGGTTTGCAAAACCCATGAGGTGGCGATTCCGGTGCATGCTCGGCGTTGGCTGGTGCGCCCCTGCGGTCGCGCCAACCCAAGCATGCGCGCGCAGCGGCCGGCTGGTTTGGCGCGACCGACGCGGCCGCGGTGTCGCTGATCGTTGGGCACATACCAGCGGGCACTTCGTTGCATGTCGGCGACTTGGGCGGGCGCAGTATCATGGCAGCGTCGACAACGGTAGACTTTGTGGGCGAGTTTCCAACGACTTCGACGACGACAACGACGACGACGAGAACACCGACGGCGACGACGACGACGCCGACGCTGACGACGACGACGACGACGATGACTACGCCGACGACGACGACGCCGACGACGACGACGACGCCGACGACGACGACGACGGCGACGACGACGACGACGGCGAAAATGAAGACGACGACAACGACGACGTCGCCAACGAAGACGACGACAACGACGAGGGAGGAAGGAGGACGACGATTGCGACGACGACGACGAGGGCAGAGGGAACACGACGACGACGACGACGACGACGACGTCGTCGACGAAACACCGACGATCTGCGAAGAAAGGGACAACGACGAAACAGGAAGAAAGAAACGCCGACGTCGGCGAAGGAGGGACAACGACGAAACACCGACGAAGACGACGAGGGGGGAAGGACGACCACGGCGACAACGACGACGGAAACGACGACGCCAAGACGACGACGACGAGGAAAGACAGAGGACGACGACCTCGATGACGACAACGACGGGGGAGGAGGGAGGACGGCGAGGACGACGACGACGCAAGAGCGCGCGCGCACGCTTTTGTTGAACATCCGTGTTGCGAAACCTTGTGTTTGTGTCCGTTTTTTGGACACACGATTCTGAAATCCTTTGGAAATCGGTGGTTGTTGAAGGATTCCAGCATGCGCGCGCGATGACGCGCGCGTGTGGATTTCGTGTTTTCTTTTTGCAACAGATTTTTGGACATTTATAACTTTGGATAAACGGATGCGCGCGCATAGTATGTTTTGCAGGGGATGGCGCGGGGGGCGGGCGATACCTGTTTGGCTGGGATAGTACGAGTTCAGATTAAGGATGGACGATGGGGCACAACCGTATGTACATTGCAATACGAGCAGGTGGCCCGTTAACTCCGGGGGGGGTAAAGTTTCGGTATACGTTGTGCCGTATACGTCGTGCGACCGATGTTGTGCAATATGTGGTGAGTTTCATATATGGTGCAATTCATGGGGAATTTCCTATGTGGTGCCACATGTGTTGTGCAACCTGCGCGGTGCATTCTGCGTGGTGCAAAACACGCGGTGCAAACCATGCGGTACAATCTATACGGATCGACTTGTTTTTTGTTCAACATATGTGATGCAATTTACGTTGCGCAATGTATGTGCTGCAATATGGTTGTGCAATGATGCAATTGGTTTCAACCAGCGAGTTGACACACCCCGCGCTCTTGTAAACATCCTACCCACCCTCCCGCAACTTGGTTTGCAAAACCCATGAGGTGGCGATTGCGATGCATGCTCGGTGTTGGCTGGTGCGCCTCCGACGCCGCGCCAAACCACGCACGCGCGCTCAGCGGCCGGCTGGTTTGGCGCGACCGACTCGGCCGCGGTGTCGCTGATCGTTGGGCACATACCAGCGGGCACTTCGTTGCATGTCGGCGACTTGGGCCGGCGCGGTATCATGGCAGCGTCGACAACGGTAGACGTTGCGGGCGAGTCTCCAACGAATTTGACGACGACGACAAGGATGACGACGACAACACCGACGACGACGACGCCAACGTCGACGACGACGACGACGACGACGATGACCACACCGACGACGACGCCGACGCCGACGACGACCACGGCGACGACGACGACGGCGACGTTGCCAACGAGGACGAAGACGACGACGACGAGGAGGGAGGGAGGACGACGCCGACGACGACAACGACGACGACGACGGCGACGAAATAGGAGGGACAACGACGAAATGCCGACGAAAACGTCGAGGAAAGAAGGACGACCACGGCGATTACGACGACGGAAACGACGACGACGCCGAGACGACGACGACGACAACGACGACGACGACCAGGAAAGACTGAGGACGACGACGGCGATGACGACAACGACGGTGGAGGAGGGAGGATGGCGACGAAAACGACGACGCAAGTGCGCTCGCGCACGCTTTTGTTGAACATCCGTGTTGCGAAACCTGGTGTTTTTGCATGTCTTTCTGGACATGCGAATTTGGAATCCTTCCTAAACCGAGAGTTTGTAAGGAATTTTGGCATGCGCGCGCGACGACGCGCGCGTCTGCACATCTTTTTTGTTGCGGGGGGTTCTCGGGACGGCACGCGCGCAAAGGAGTTCGAACGATTTCGACGCTCGCGCGAAACCCGTGTGGTATTATTTTTTGTTTGAAAATATTGAGTTTTTTTGGTTTCCTAAGATTTCGCAAGAGCGCGCGCGTAAGGTTTTCTAGGAAACCAATATTGCGAACCCCGGTATGCTGTATGTTTTTGTATGAAGCTCGATGTCGAAATCCTTCCGCAACCGAAGGTTTTTGAAGGATCCCGGCATGCAAGGGACGATTGACAATGTATGATTTTTGATAAACGGATGTTCGCGCAAAGTTTTCTTTC